CCGGTCGTTATTGTCTCTTAGCAACAAATGGGACAAAATTCCCTGAGAGAAAGAAAGAAAAAACAAAAAAATGGAAAAATCCTAACCGCGAAAAAGTAGATGTAGGAATGGGGTTATTAGGTAATTTAGATCATCTGAACCTCCTTAAAGGCAGCAGGGGTGATGAAGCTTTGGTAGTTTGCGTTGACTTTACCTGGGAACTTCAATTCAAATGCTGGAAAGTGAGAAGTATCAAATATGGGAATATCCTTGGGAGTTGCTGTCAGCTGTGGACTAGATCCATGAGAAGTGAGGTCAAAAGGGCTTGCAGGATAAGCTACGTTAGGCTGATGTGTTATCTTCATACAATATCCTGCTATAATCACACAGAAGATGCTACATGACACTAATGCTTTTGTAATTAACTATCCTGCCTATTTGAAATCAAATAAAATTAAATGCACGGTGTAGTCACAGTGTTAAAAATGGTGGTAAGTAGAGGAATCATTTTTTAAATCCTGTGTTCTGTTATCTGAAGCAGGCTAAAAGCATGTGGACATAAAATATGAATGTATGCATAATATATATTCATATGTAGATTATTGTCTTCAGCACCTTTCACATAAAAACCATGGGAGAAGAAAAATAAATAAATCACATTTGAAGAAGGGATTGAAATAATTTTTTAAAATTCCTGAGTGAAAAAGCAGCTTATCTTTGCATCAGAGAGAGCACATGCTGGGAGCTGCAAGCTTTTCATCCAACAGAGAATTGTCCCAGCAAAAGGCTTGTAGTGAGCTCATATTTATGTTCATCTCTGTGTTAACCCATCTGTTCAAGCTGTCCTTCAAAACATACCCAGTCAAATATGGAGTCTGAAAATTGTTAAAATATTATAAAAATTCATCATTCAAAAATTATTATCCAGAGGAAGGTGCAGTCCATGGTTCTGTACCTCTAAGTCATACTTGGCTGCATCAGCTCAGGAAATCACATCACTTTTTTTGAGTCTTTTTTTTCTATCCTACTTGAAATTCATCAGAATGTTCAGAAGATAATTGACTAATATATGGCCTGTAAAAGTAAAATTTTTGTTTTCTTTTCCATATATATTTCCACGTTTTCTTAAGTTTACTAGAAGCTGTCATTTCAGGCCACTAGTGTATATACTAAGGCAAAACTTAATTTTTTAAAAAAGCTTTTTTCTCATTGTTTTAGTCTTTAATTCTTTTAGAATTTCTGTATTTGTATGTTGTTTAAACATTCCTCTATCATTTCTTGTATATGATTCTTATATTGTTAGCAATGGATTTTGCTTTCTTATTAGAAATTATTTGTGTTCAATCCATGTATTGCTCTGTATTTAAAGCTACTGAGAACCAGATCTGAAAATTTACATCCTGATAAATACCAAAAACTCTCTTTATTCAGCGGTCCCAGGAGTAATAATCTTTAATATTCTTTCTGCTTTATTCATTGCAATTTGGTATGTTTCTGCTTATTTGGGGAATTATATGCAGACAGGGGACTTCCCTGTTAAAAACAAATTTGAAACTGTGTCTGAATCTATGAATATTTCAGAAGAATTTGGACTGTGAAATATTGAAACGTGGATAATAATGGCCCAAAGAGACATCACGCTTCATAATTTGTAAACTTTTTAATGTAATGTATTGTGTGTAGGAGGACATGCATTTATCTCTAGAGGCCAGGAGATAATATCCATAGGAAAAGCAGGATCAGTGTGAGGGAAGTGTGGGAGTGGAGCAGGCTCTCAGCAGGCTGTGCTCACCACTTTGCTCTCTCTGAGCTGGGTAATGAGTTGGATATCACAACAGAGGGCACAGGGCTGGTAGCAGAGATCAATAATCTAAAATGATGCAGTTGCCTGCTGTAGGAAAGGTGCTTCCCCTCCATGTGCAGCACAAAAAGCAATTTCTGTCTGTGCTTTGGGCTCATTTAAAAACAAAGCAGAAGGCAGCAGACACTACTAAAAACCTGAAGCTTATTGAGCTCCAGGGGTGCTGAGCCCCCTGCCTGCCCAGACTGAGTTCCCTTGGCTGATCTGGATGTGGTGGTCCTGCAGCAGCTCAGAAACTGGGGACGTGAGGCTGTTATTCACAAGCATTATGTACTCCAGATGAAATAACCAGAGAGAGAAAATTGTGTGGTGGGTTTTTAAAATAGATTTCTATTTATTCAAACAATACTGGTGTCAGAAAATGGCATGTTAATGCACTTTGATGTCATCTAAATATATATATAAATTCCAATGATAGACTTACATGCTTGAAGTTAAGTATCCCTTCAAAAGACATGTTTGTAAAAATTTCAGAGGTGCAGTCACTATGACTCAGTAGGGAATCTGCAGCTAAATCTTGCAGTGGCACATTTTTCAGAATCCTTTTTTCTTTTTTTTTTTTTTCTTTACCATCCTGGCTTATCCATTTCTTCCAGTTCCAGGAATCACCACTGCTTGTGGGAGGGAGAGTGTTTTTTGCTGGAAACAGCGTGATGTGTTGGCTCCCCCTTTCAGCCACCTCCATGGCCAATGTCTCATTTCTAAATCATCAGTGATGCACGGTTCTCCTCTAATCCTCTTAACTTCTTTCACTCTAAAGTTGTATCTGATGCAAACAGGCTAAGTCACTTTGAACACCTACACTAACTTTTTTCATATCCTTCAGCACAGTAATCAAAATAAATTATTTCAGCACTCCTCGTAAGACAGTGTGCTGGAAAATCACTTCAATTTCAGTATAGAAAATAAAAGCTTTTATTTGGAGAAAGGATTGTTGGAATGAAATGTGCTCTCAACACATCATTTTTTTTAGAACCCAGATTAATTTTTTCTGTGATATCCCTGCTTTTATATCTGTATCCAGGAAATGTTTAACTTTATGAACTCTTGGAGGGGAAAAAAAAGGGCACCACAATTCTTTAATAAAAATGTTTAAAAGCTCTCTCATTTCACAAGAAAGGCTAAAAGGTTCACTGAGCCAGAAGGAGAAACCAAACATAAGTCTGACCATGGCCTAAACCACTCTCTTCAGGCCCACAGGCCCAAAGCAGAAGTTTTAAAAGGAAGTCTGTCAGCTCATATTACAACTAGCAAATATTATTGTCGATATTGTTATTGTTACCTTCTGAGGGCAGGATTTGTAAATTTTTTAGGTAGTTGTGAAAGACAATTTGCATTTTTTAAATGGCTGATAGTAGCTTGTAGTAGGACAACTCGTATAATGAAGAGGGAGTATTTTATACCCTTTTACAATATTCAAAGTGTAAAAATGCTTTGAACTGGTCTTTCAGATTTTATTCTCTGGAAAAAATTGAGATTTTCTGGATGCTTGCTCAAACTGTGTAAATTCTACCCAAAGGAAGGGAATTTTAATGTTGTTTGCTCCTTCCTCTTCCTTAATACTTCCAGGAAAAAGTACCTACAGTGTAGAGAAACCCAACCTCCACAACAGTGGCATCTTAGGCATTAATGACTGTGTTTGGTTTTGCCCAGGGAAAGCAAGGAGATGCGTGCCAACCAAGCTAAAATATCCATGGAGAACAGCAAAGCCATTAGCCAAGACAAATCTATCAAAAACAAAGCTGAAAGAGAGAGGTGAGTATTCCTTCCTGATAAGGGAGAATGCTGTCAGAGGCTGACAGGGGAAGTCATGGATTAATTCTGTTAAAACCACACTTTTATTATGCTGGATATATTTTTAGATGACCATTTTAGAAAAAAAATGGTGATTTTCTCATATTTATTTCTCACTTTTAAGAACTCTGATGCCCTGATCATTTTTGACTGACTAGAGTAGGTCCAATCACACTATTAAATTCTAATTATTGTACCTCAAGAGCGTTATATTTTTTGCTTTTTCAATGAAATGAAGACCTGACTGAGAAGGGAGTAAAAGCAGAATTGACACAATGATGTCTTATAAGCCTTTGGGGTTTCCCCTTCACTTTGGCCTTGCCGTCTGGCTTGTTCTTTCCTTTTTCACATCCCCTCCTTGGCACTGGGCTATTTTGGTCCCAAAGCCTGAACTTGTTCCTGCTGAACCAAGTCCCTTGAGTGGTGCCCACTCCCAGCTCATCAGGAGGATGAGTTCTCAGAGCCCTTGGTAACCATTTGCTTTGTTGTGTTGGACCTCACTAATGACTCCAAGATAAATCTGTTCCCAAATCTGAAAGCAGTTCTGGTTTGTGGGCTGATTAAATGCTTGAACTATTTTTGTTCTCTGTCATGGCAGAAATGTTAGGAAGATACACTTAAGTAATTTTATGTAGCTAGTAATTTTATATTTATATTTTTGCATAAATAACATCTTTAAGAAGATTTCAGTATTGATAAGTGTAACTTTGCTTAGATCATCAGATGATTTTTTTCCATTACCACTCTTAAGACACACAGAATTTTTTACATACCAAAACTAACAGTAGAGTACAGCAAGGGATGCACAAATTAAACAATTCTTTTTGAAGTTTCCACCACCACTCTTGAGTAAGGAAAAAGCAAACTTCATTCACAACAGTCAAGTCTTCAGTCATACTGCCAGTATACTTGGAAATCTCTGAGTAAAATTCTGTAGCCAGAGGAGTGTACAATTTGCCATTAGTCCTACCTGGTACACATAATCAGAAAACAAAATACACCTTAAGAGTTTATGATTCTCTCAGTTGTAGCTTTTTGGTTTCTGTTTTTCCAATGAGTCTTCATGGAGAATGTTTGCATTTTTTCAGGCGAGTCAGAGAACTGAACAGCAGCAACACGAAAAAGTTCCTGGAAGAGAGAAAAAGGGTAACTATAACCTTGACAAGTCACTGGGCACTGTTTCTGGATATTCTTTTTCTTTTCTCTGTGTTGAGAATCCAGCTCTAGTAGATTTTTGTCTATGCTTTGTTGCACATACTTGTAGAATAAAAGATCTGACGTCTATACAAGATGAAGCTATTTTGAATTAACAGAGTTACTGTTCATTCCTGTGTGTTTGCCATGTATTATGTGCAGTATTTATAATATGTATCTATTAATTATATCAATTAATAATATAAGAATATTAAGCTTTTATTAAGATTGGGATATACTAGGCCTCCTGTGATGTTTTATGCCTCCTAAATGGAGCACATATGTGTATCTTTCAAGCAGGTTTTTATTTTACTTGTTAATAATGTGTTATATTCTCTCCCCCATTATTTTCTTTCAATCACAGCTGGCAATGAAGCAGTCAAAGGAAATGGATCAGTTGAAAAAAGTTCAACTTGAGCACTTAGAAGTCTTGGAGAAGCAGAACGAGCAGGTATCTTGTTTTAAAGACTTAGGAGAAAAGCAAGCTAGAGGAAACAGTAACCAGAGTCAGGCTGAGTAGAATCCTCCTGAATACAAGGCTTTACCAAAATGGGGACTTGTTCGTGGTCACTACCTACTTTGGGAGTCCAAATGAAGAGGTGAGGTGGCTTAAATGATACAGCACCAGAGTTGTTTCAGCTGAGCCTGTGGGAGCTGAACTGCTCAGCCAGAGTGCCCTTTCAGAGAGCTGTTCAGCCACACTGATACTCGTTAGCCAGATATGACAGTCATTAAGGACCCAGCATATCCATTTTAATTACTCCCCAAAAGCAACTCAAGCAAATCGGTTTCCTTCATTTTGGAACTAACATTTCTAGTACTGATTGAAAAATTAGAGGTAAAACGTTCCCAGAGCATCTCTGAACTCTGAGAGACAGTGAGTTTGGACTGAATTCTAGAGATGTACAGTAGCATGGGGAGTTTTATCTGTACTAGTACACCCTTTCCTAATTAAAATACCTTATTATTTTCTGCTGGTTTATAAGCCTTTTTTTTTTTAATTGAAAAACTACTTGGCAAGGAAAGGAAAATTCTAATCTTATTTCTGGTGGAAGCAACACTATGTTCTGAGCAGTTCCCTTGCTGAAAGGTTGAGCCAGAAGAGCTGGAATAATTGCATGGACTTGCAGTACTGCACTTAAAAATGTAAACTGTGAGGGGAATATACCCAGCAGTTCAGTGAAGTGAGAGAGGAGGGGAGCATTTAATACCCACTACTTTCTATTTAATACCCATTATTGTTAAGGGTTATGTACTCACTTCCTTGTTTGGTAAATGTTCAGAATTTGAACTCTTTGGAAGACACCATAATACAAATTAAAGCCATCTTGCAGAGAGATAGGGAAGGGAATGGTACAGCCAAATCAAGTATTTCCACTGTCAGGAGAGAGCTCCAAAGCTGAAGCTTGGGTAACTTCCAGGGGGTGACAACACTCTAAGATCTCAGGTGGCCCCAGCCACCACAGCTCTGCTGATCACTCCACCTCCTCTTGGGTAGCAACCACGAGTCCCACTCTGATCCCTCACAGGCTTGTTGTAGGTGCTATCTCCAACATCCAGCATGAATGGATCTGTCAGTCAGTCTGCTCCTGAGCAATATCTAAAGGCAGGGAGGCAGGATCTGGGGGAGGCAGGACCTGGGAGAGGAAATTGGCCCATGGCAGATCTGTTGCATCACTGTGATAGCTGACAAAAAAATGGATCCAGAGCTTTGGTGTTATCAGTTCTTTCCTTCCACTGGCTTCAGAGAGCTTTGGGTCCATTTTTAAAAATACATAAGGAGAGAATGATTCTGGTTGTGCTTTTGACCATAATGTTGTGCTTTTGACCACATTCTGTATAAGGGAGCTGGGATAAGTGTGAGTCACTGAAGGGTCACCTCTCTGAGCAATTGGATATATCCTCACCTGGGCTTACAGCTCTGCAGCTGAGGGATGGCAACAGCCTACATGAGCTTGCTCATTTGCCATTTAAGTCAGATAAATCATCAGTTATTAAATGGAATAAGCTCCTCCATGTGCTGGTTATCGCTTCTGTGTGGACATGTGGTGGCCTCTGCCACAGGGATTGTCCTTAACAGCTTTTTAACTCACTCTAATTTGATCCATCAGAGCATATATTTCCATACATTCTGTTTGGACCATTTCCTTGTAGCCCCAAAAGTGCATCAGTGCAACCCCCAGCTGGCTCTGGTATCACTGTTAGATATACTGATGTATGAAAGTTAATTGGATCCAGGTGGTATTTGTTTAATGAGGATTTGAAACACTTTTTTTTCCTGATCAAACAAGGCAAGAAAATTTTCATACAAATATACAATGGAGAAAAGTAGAATTATGGGTGGAAACAGCTTTCAGTACAAACTGTTATGAATTTAAATTTGTTTTGTTTTATGTATGTTTTTCCTGCATTAATTTTCCAATCTCACTTCAGTTTTCATTCATTTAATTTGCTTCTTGTTGTATTATTCGATTTTGACATTTTTATTTTTGTACAAACAGCTTTTGAAATCCTGTCATGCAGTGTCTCAAACACAAGGTAGGATGGACGTATAATAAGCAAACTATTATTTCAGTGTGCTTTCCTTCTAAATTAAATCATTATCATTGGAGCCCTCCTTGTAAATGCAACCATTGGGAAGTGCCATTGACATAGTGAGCACAGTGTTAATCTTGTTTGCACACAGATATTTGAGCCTGACACAATATTTAACAGTATTTTGTGCTTTAGCATCTGAAATTCAGATGAATATGAACAGTGACGTGCAGAGGAAATATTTAGAGATTAACTTGTACATTAGCTGCTGTTACTGGAAGATCTGCTTAGAGTTCTAAATTGTGTCTGTAAGAGTGTCTGTTGATCTAAGAAAAGTATTTTAGTGTTAACACACATATGATTAACTGCTAATGCTGATAGTCAGACAAAGGGTATCCACATATCTTAGTATGGTAATAAAATAAGTAATTCCACGCTAAGAATAGCCAAATATAGAATAGAGGCTGGAAATAGCTTCCTAGTGCTGTGGAAGAGCACTTTAAAATTCACTTCAAATTCCAACATGTTACAAGCTCTGGCAATTACACTTTATGATGTGGCCGTGCTGCTATGGCTTCCTAAATAATCACTACTCCAAGAAATCTCTATTAACCCCTGTATTTCCAAGGGAAGGAGCTGCACTGGGCTGGAACATCCCCTTGTACAGCGCTGCCTGATCTTTATTACTCCCTTGAACTGATAGCATCTTGCACTACTGATAACACCCACTGTAACATTTATTTATGGATACATAATAATGAAAAAAACTCCCAACCTAGGGAAAAAAAATTTGTATTTTTCTTTTACTGTATGTGTTTCTGAGCTTGTGTGAGATCTGAGTAGAGAGCACCCTGAAAGCAGAGTCCCTTGGCTGCCCCTGACTCCATGGATCCACTGTAGGTTCCAGAGGCTTGTCTGTTGTGCTGGTGTGTTCACATGGGAACACGCTCTCTGACCCAGCCTCAGAATGGCACAAATGGGATCCTGCTCCTCTGTTACATGCTATTGGGGTCTTTGAGGCCAGGTTCTCTAAAAGAATTCCATACACAATACAGTGGGACATAGAATATTTATAGGACACTCTGTGCCTGTAGTCAAGTCACAAGCCTGAAACGTGAAATGTGTGAGTCACTAAGGAAAAAACACAGGGTTTTGTTTTATTTGGATGTTTCATTTCACACACAGGCAAAATCCAGCCAACATTTCAGAAGAGGTTGTCCATGTTGATTTATTTGTTATGTTTCCATATTTTCATGTTAAAATTGTTTCTTCATTACTTTCAAGCTTTTAAGTCATTTAAATGGAGAACGTCAATTAATTTTTAATCATATTTATGACGGTTGCTTTGCTGTTATCATAATTACTTTTTTCCCCAAGAAGATGATAAGGATGATTAAACAAGTGCAGGGCTAGATTTTTCAAGAAGGCAGGAATGTCACATCTGCATAAATCCACATTTACCTTGAAAGGGAATAGAGGTGCACCTTCATTACTTTAGACCTACATCTGCCCATTTTCACATATGAAAATACGTGTTTGCACATCCAGAAGAGGTGACTCCTTAAGTAGCAGCCTGTATAGCAAAGTTCCCTGTCTAAGCAACTTTTACAACTTCTCGGGGAACATAGTTTATATAAATCAAGTCCTCTAACCATTATTCCCTGCATGATGGAGATACAGCAATTACACCAAAGAAAAGAGTGGCTTGGATTGTCTCTACCTAAAACTTGTTCTAATGCTCCTGACTTTGATTGTATAGATGGGTTAGATTCCCCTCTGGATCAATTTATTCAGGGTCCTTGGGGTATGAATTTAAGTAACTTCCCAGACTGAGAATCCCCAGGGAAAATGGAGCTGATAACTCCCAGTTCCTTTAAACTGCAGAGTTTCAAACCAAAACACAGGAGGAGAGAGTGTGGCTGTGTGTGCATCTGAGAGAGAGGAAGGGAATTTAAGAAGTGCCCTCTGAGAGGGGATTCCCAGGCCAGCCACCATTTACACACACAGCTTTAACTCTGCCTGCAGAGCCCGAGGCAAGAAGAGTTTATAGCGAGGTCTGGCATGTATCCATGCTGGATTTTGCATAATGAATTTGGATACAGTTTCAGGTGGATTCAGGGTGTATAATCCCATGGAGCACGTAGCAGTATTCTAATTCTGAGGTGAAAAACACCCCCTTCTGTAATCATAAGGATCTCCAGGTCAGACAAAAACCAAACAAACAAACAAAACCAGCTAAATTTAAAAGATACTACTTTTTAAAAATACTACTTAAAAAATCTTGCCCACTGCAAGGGAGATGTTACTCTGATGAATTTTTGTCTTTCCTTTATGAAAGGAACAAGTCCAGATCATAGATAAATTTCAGGCATTAACACATTCCAGTACTCTCACAACAGCAGTAAGAATACATTCCCAGACATTTCCTATCTGGAGAAACAGTAAATTGGCATCTGCCTAACTTCTTCCCCAAAACTGGTGCTTCTGCATTTTATCACATGCTTTTTTAGAAAGTCTCAACCCATGACTCTCAGATTAGAATAAAAAAAAATTTCCTAAGAATTTGTAAATATAAGGATTACATCCAATTTTGAAAACAGTGACATGGGGTAGGGGGACGAGGGGTGTAAAAATAATGTTGTTACCTATCTCTTCAGTGTGCTTTGCCTGTGTTTCACTCAGACACTCTCATGTGAAACGTGCTTCATTGGGAGCAAAAGGTCTAATGCAACACTTCATGCGGTTATTTTGGATTGCAGGCAAAGGAGATGCAGCAGATGGTGAAGCTGGAAGCAGAGATGGATCGCAGGCCAGCAACAGTGGTTTAAAGCCTCAACAAGCAAATTGAAGTTGGAGAGCACAGCATCCTTAAAATGAGAGCAAAATTCCAAATAACATTGCTGAGGTCGAAGAGTGGGCTTTTGTTGTAGTTTGGTTTTGGCAGGGGTTTGTTTTGGGTTTTTTGTTCTTAATATATGAAGTGTAGCTACGGACCACCAAGTCTTAAGGTTTGCATTGTTTCTTTTTTAACACTGGGCACTGAATTTCCTTTGTTGAATTTCCATAAGAATTCCCTTTGTTCAGAAAAACCCCGACACGAAGATTAAGAGAGTTTTTTAAACCCCGTCCTGCTTTTCTTTCTGTATCTCACCAGGCACCTTGCCTGCATCAGAATCACACGATCAGAGCCTCGAGACACAGGAGATACTTTTAACATCGTCTCAGATGGCAACAAAGCTGTATTTCGAGTCGAGTAATTTCCCATTTGTGTTCTCATGTGTGATGTGCTGTGCAGAAACCCCACGCTGCCAGACCCTGCCATGCCACGTCCTGTCAGATGCTCGGCACCTGATGTCCCTGAGCCCACTGAACTGGACCTTATGCCAAGTAATAATTAGTATAGTAAGGAGTTGAGTTTTGGGTGATTTTAAATTGTATTTCAAGCGGGGTTTTTTTCAGGCAGCAGACAGCAGGCAGTTGAAAGGTAACTGCGTATTTTCAAAAGTACAGCGTGTACAAAGTCATCGGCCAAATTCATCAGCTGCAGCAGTAACTTGACAGGGTATTTCTGCAGCCTAATGATGTCATTCACAAGTGCCATATCAAGTCTATCAATTCTGAGAGGAGCCAATATCCTGTAGAAGTTACTGCAGTGGATAACCTGAGGGAAATACAGTGTATTTGTGCCAAAACTGATCAGTGCTCTAAGAAATTATATATTAGGCACTTTAAGAAAAGTTTACATCCTACATTGCTTGTATAGAAATTGCATTTTGATCCTGTTGCTGCAAATCCCGGATACTACAGTTCATTGTAACTTAAAAGATTGTTTAAATGGCTTTTGGCAAAAAGTTTGTAACTGTGAAAATGTAAAAAGTATTTATACACTTGGGAAACACAACATTGTAGAAAATCACATACATGTTGCTACGTGATAAAATTAGTAAACAGAAATGCTAAGAGTATGTTTGCATGTGATACAAATGCTACTAAGGCTGTAATGCCTACTATATGACCACAGTCATGCTACTAGCTGGTAAATACTGAGTAAATGTATGGCACAGAATATTGTTTGATTAATTACAAAGACTTTTAGCATTACAAGGTCTCTATATATATGTGTGTATATTAATTACGTGGGCATTCTTGATACTTGTAGTAAAAGAGAAGTACATAACTAATTTAATTTTACACAGAAGTATTTATGCAGATTTTCAGAATTTCATATCAGGAATAACCTTTTTATGTCCATTAGATATAAAAACAATTTGCTAATGTGTTAATTTGCATGTTTCCAGAGCTTGCTGTAGTTATATTGCAAAACAATGCATGTAAGCATTCGGCTTGGAATTTGTCCATGCTGCCAATTCAAAGATGACTGCATGGAAAACTGGTAGTTTAGAACAAATCAGATTTCTGATTTCAATGTACTAAGCACCAATTACTTTGTTGTATATGCTTGTACAAACAAATTCTACATATTCCTATAAACAAAATAAATGAAGAGAGATAATTATGTTATTGTCAGTCCTGAGATGAAACTTTCAACTTCTCTAATAAAAACCTTAAAAATTCAAATCCTTTAGTTTTGACTGCAGTGAATTGCAGGGTGGTGGTGTTATCAATTGCAGATTTTTAGCAAGTTGTATTTCCTGTAAAAATGTGTAGAGTGTAAATATATTTCTATCACTGCTTATTTAGTCAAAGGAGTCTTTTTTTTTTTTTTAATTTTATATAAGTGATAGAAGCATTGTGCAGCACTAAAGAACTGCCCCAGTGGAGTGTAGCAGCAGATCCTGGAAATGCAGCAACATGAGTGCAGTGTAGCAGCAGATGAGACAGAGGTCAGTGAATCTTTAGGTGTTTAAAGCAGGGTTTAAACAGACTTGTAATGCATATTCAGAATTCCCATTCTGATTCCATAGCCTATGGAGGTAGCTCCTGGTCCTTTATGATACATAATGTTTTAAAAGACAAGTTGTGGACTGAGAGCAGCTCTCTAAGCTAAATACTGTATGGAGCTGGGAGCAGAAATGTTTTCAGAGCATGCTGGACAGGATTTTTATTATGACTTTTCTTTTAATTAAAAATGTCCTCTAAAGCACAGCTGGTGGAGACAGTGCTGTAAGCTGGAATTTTACACTGTTGTCTACTGCAGTGGTTTTTAGCCTGTAAGGATAAAGCAAACGGCAGACCAGGTATGGAGAGAACTGGATGCTAAAGCATCTTAGGCTCAGTTAGAGCCTGGCTGGAAAGCCCTGCCCTACCTGTTAGAAAAACCACTGGGAATGGAGGGCTTGCATTCAGCCCACGGCCCACCCTGAGGAAGATCAAACCTGCTTATTTAACTCCTTGGTGAGCATCCTATCCCTCAGGGAAAAACGCAGCTTTTGGAAGAACAGAAGACGCTGTCCACAGCCTCCGTCTGAGCCTGTGCTCCCTGCTCAGCCAGGAGCGAGACATCCATCAATTCAGACAGAAAAATGGGCTTCTGTGAAACTGCCGAGTAGGAAACCTCAGCTGCCAGCCTCAGCTCCCCACACTGATGCGTATTTCATCCACTGACAACTTAGCATAAAATGCAGGCAGTAATTTGAAATTAAGTGATGAATTTTGTCAGCTAAGTGTTTTGAAATACTGTTTAAGCAGTATTTGATTCAAAAATTATTTGAAGTTTGGCCGCTAATGTAATGAGGTGAGAATTTCCATTGAGATGAAATAGGCTAATCAATTTGAACATTGATACTGAGTTAAAGCAGTTTAAAATGTCATTCCCTGCTGGGGTGATAAATTCCACTTCAGTGAAATTTCATCGAGGGAAGTGGCAGATTTTCCCTCTCTGAATCGCTTCAGATAAATTCAGCTCAGCTGTGATGGGGAGGGTCATGACACCCTGGCCTCATAGGCAGCCTGCTATTCTTTCACTTCCAGTGATTTGGGGGGTGGTCATTAACTTGACTGTTTCCAGGTGGGGGCCTGTTTAACCCCTGCACCACCTGAGTGCAGTTAAAATGCATCATCAGAGACCCAAAATACCCCTCAGTCCTTGCAGATTCAGGTGCTGCCTGTAAAACCAGCTGCAAGTGGCAAACACTTTAGACCTAAAACCCTTTTCTTGCTGGATGTGTCAATAGTGGCCCCAGAGCTGCAACCTGGCTGTCTCTGTGCTGTGTGCTCCCTTCCAGGAGGCTGGTAAGAGTTGTTATGTCTGGTAATTGTGGGTAGCAAGGGGGATTCAGCCTTCAGAGATACCCAGGCAGTCTCCAGAGCTGGGGGTAAGGGCAGGTGGCAGGGCTGGTTTTAGGTGGCCTGGTCTGGGACCATAAACTGTCCCTGGTCACAGCATTTCAGGGTGGCTGATGGGGTGAGACCTTTCTGCTCTGTGTTTTGGGGGTTGCTCGATGCTAGGAAGACTTTGGTCTTTCCCTTTTTATTGCCACAGAGAGCAGGATGAACGCAGCTCTGCATGCTGGAAGTGGCAATTGTCACTGGAGCTAAAGGCTTTGTTGTTGTGCTGTGCAGCTGGGGGAGAACAGTTCTGTGCTGTGGGACAGCCTTGTCCTCGTCTCCAGCACAGCTGCTCTCTCTCAGCTGCTCCCTAGACCCTCCTGCATAGGCTGGATGCAGGAGCAGCAGATCAGAATCGTGTATTTCAGGGTTTAAAAGTTGGAAATTAAAAAAAAAGGCTGGAAATCAAATCGTGGACTCGAGAAGGAAATAAAGGGTAGTTAAACACTGAGCTCATCAGTGTAGGACCTGAGGAAGCCAGGCATTAAAATCACCACAGAAATACAGCCTGTTACAGTCAAAGGTTATATTTTATAGAAGATTGTATTTTTTTTCCTTTATATAGTCCCCTGAAATTATTATCCATAGGTTAATCCTGTGTCACAGCTGACACAGGTCTTACTCTATTTGGGGGTGTGCAGGAATGGCTTTTTATCATTGAACAGGAGAGTGAGAGGAAATGGTCAGAATATATTTAATATGTACAGAAAGCAGAAAAGGAATTTCAACGTTATAAGTACAAAAATTAATCTGTTCCTTTAGTGTCAGTTTTTATTGTTTAAAAAAGCCCTTTCCCAGAAAAAAAAAGCCCCTCTTTGCATGTGTGTGCCCTGGCAAAGAAAGGGCAGCTGCCCACAATTAAAACTCACCTTGCAATATTTTGCTTTGCAAAACCTTGGACCATTTCCTCCAGATGCCTTTTCTTGAACTAGAAATGTGATTTGGTAGTGAATCCAATAAAGCCATCACTCTGGATCGCTGCTGTCCCTTTGGCTTTTTACCAAAAAAACATCCTCAGTGTCGGGCTCCTCATCCCCGCTGCTCCTGGGACTGGTGTCTCTGTAAATTATCGTAAATATTTGGATGTGCTCCTGGTCCCGGGGCGAGAGTGGCAGCGTGTTAAAGCTCAAAAAAAGGTCCCGATGAGAGGCGGGAAGAAATATTCCAACGTGGCATCAGCCGGGGCAAGGGAGCAGCGCAAGAGTCGGCCGCACTTCCACCTCACGGAGCGGCAGCGCAGCCGGGAGCTCCGGGCGGGGATCGCCCGCTCCTCCCGCAGCCCCGCTGCCGACAGGGGCCCAGCGCTGTCCCTGTCCCGGGCTGAGAGCGAGAGAGCGAAGGCGCTGCGCTAGCGGGGAGTTGAGGGCCCCCGGAGCGGGCAGGGCAGGGGGCGGGCAGCCCTCCGTGCTCTCACCCCGCCTCGCAGTCCCCTCTCCTCTCGCTATCTCGCACCTTTGACCCGGCCAGGGACAAAACCCTGAGCGCCCCGGCTCAGTTGTCACCTGTCTCACCTCCGAGGAGCACCCCAGGTGCCCTCCTGCCTGTCCCCCCCAAAAACGCCCCTCACGAGCATGGGCAGTGATGTTTGTGTTTTAAAGCACCCTCTCGGGGCTGTTGGGTTTTATGTTAGGGTTGTGGTTTGTCACGTCTTAGAGCTCAGGTGTGTGGATGGCCGTTCACAGAAGGATGCGAGTTTGGTTGTGACCTTGCCACACAAAAATAGCTGCACGTTTCTTCCTAAATTAACACTCGGAGCAGCTGTTCGCCTTCACCGAATTAGTGACGCTCCGTGAGCAGCCGGCACTGGAATAGGCATCCCTTCTTCCATCCCGCCGGCCTTTCCGGCAGGGACGGGCGGCGCAACCCCTGAGCGAGGGGGTCCCGACCCCGCTCCCAGCGCGGGCCCTGCCAGGGGAGCGGGGAGTGCTCAGGGCGAGCCCGATTCCTCTCCAGCCGCGCGTCGGGCGGCCCGAGGGCCCCGCGGGGATCCCCGGCCGCCCCTCCGCGGGTGCGGCGGGGCCCCGGCGCCGGAGGGGGGGAATCCCTTCTTCCCTCCTCCCCTCCCGGCTGCGCGTACGCCCCGTCCCTCGGCGTGGGCGCTCCATCAGCTCCGCCGGCATCTCCCCTCCTGCTCCTCCTCCTCCCCGCACACCCACACACTTTCCCCGTCCCTCCTCCCCGCCACTCCGCAGCGGAGTGCTTTTGCAGCCTGTGCGGCTCCTGAGGACAGAGGTGTGCGGCTTTTTCCCTCTCCTTTTTATTTTTAATTTTTTTGTCTTTTTCTCCGGAGCGGACCTTTCGGAGGAACAGCTGCAGCAGCCGCGGCCAGGCCGGGACCGAGCAGGGAGGATGGCCGGGGGGCTTCTCCCGGGGCTGCTTTTCATCTTGCGTGAGTATCTGCTTGGGGAGTCGCGACACGGAGCCCTGTCGCGACGAGGCAGCCGCTGGCGCTGACACAGACTCGGCGCTGTTACGGCACCGGTCCCACATCACCGCCACCGGCTACCAGATCTCCTCCACATGCTCTGTCGCGACAGGGACACCCCGTCGCGATAGAGTAGCTTGCTCCAGCGGGCTCGGGGGTGGCGGGGGATTGTTAGGGTGAGCGGCAGAGGTTCGGGGCTGCCGGCGCTCAAGCCCGCTGTGCCCGCAGACGCCGCGGCTCGCCTGGCCGCCGAGCAAGAAGTTGAAAACCTCTCCGGGCTCTCCCCTAACCCCGAGAAGGACATCTTCGTGGTGCGGGAAAATCGGACGACGTGTCTCATGGCCGAATTCGCCGCCAAGTTCATCGTGCCCTACGACGTGTGGGCCAGCAATTATGTGGACGTGAGTCTGGGCCGGGGGCGGCCCGGAGGGTCCGGGGCTGCAGCAGGACCGGGGATGGCAGGGGACACACACACGCACACATCTGCTGACACTTTCGGAAAGTCCTTTATCCCCTCCCAGGACTTTCAGCGGGGGCAGTGGGGGGCCCGTAGGTGCCCGGGGGGACTCGCGGGTTGCCCCGCTGAGCCCAGCTCCCCGCTTGCAGCTGATCACGGAGCAAGCCGATATCCCGCTGTCACGGGGCGCCGAGATGAAGGGCAAGTGCGGCACGAACGAGTCAGAGCTGGAGCTCTCCTGGCTGGACCAAGCGTACACCCTCAAACTCTCCTTCCTGAAGGTACGGGCTCCCCGCACGCCGGGAGCTGGGTCGGGGGCGCGGCGGCTCCGCGGGGTCCTGACCGGCCCTGTCTCGGCAGGAGGGGCACAACACGTCCCGAGGACCGGAGGCGTCCTGGAGGCTCAGCCGGATCCAGTTCACCTACGACAGCTCCGAGCGCACCTACTTCAAGGATGCCGTCAGCCGTAAGCGCCCGGGCTCGGGGTTTAAGGCAGATCCCGGCGGGCGAGCGAGAGCGGGGCCGGGCTGGGAGGGGAGCACCCCGCGGGATACTCGATAAATGTAGCTTACGGGGAAAAAGGAACCCACAAAGGCGGGACCAGCTGCCGGGTTTAGATCGCATGTTATAATTTTTTTTCTCTCCGCTTTTTTTTTTTTTTTTTTTTTTTTTTTTTTAATCACCACTGTTGCCGTGGGAGGGAGAGCCCAGCTCTGCCCGTTTGCTTCACTGCCCAGGCTGTTCTGTGGGACCCAGGGCCGAGGGGGTGAGGCAGGGAGACACCTGGGCTGGAAAAGCTTGTCTCCTTTCCTGTGGGGAGATTTTCTTTTAGGTTAATCCTGATAATGGTTGAATAGGTGGGAAGGCAGCAGTTTCCCAAGATAACTGTCGTTAGTATTATACCCCTACACACTTCTGCACCCAGCAGCCTCCTCTCTTCTCACGGGGTTTCCGTTCTTTTGGCTTTCATTTTGTTTTTATTTAATTTCGGCTCAGAAATGTATTGTCTTGAATTGAAAAATGAAGTATTGTTATTTACAAATCGTTCTCCCTCAAGATTTTCCAGCTGCAGTGAATAGGGCGTTTAGAGTTGTTGCTATAAGACATGCTGGTTTGGGGCTGTTTTTCCCCACTGGTATTTCCACTGTCTGAGTCCCACAAAACACGGAGCTGGCTGTGCCTCCTCAGCCCCTGCCCATGAAAAGCACTGACTGCCTTTTTGTGCTGCTGGAGGGGAACAAAGGGCTGCAGAAGAGCAGGAGGTGGAAGATATCCCTCATCCTACCTGGCTCAGCCGCATTCAGCCTTCACTTGCAAAGCAAGCTTGATGTGATGGGAAAATATTTTCTTGTAATTTATACTTGGGTGAAATGGTCATGTTGTATTTTCAGGAAAGGCTTTATGGCCTCTCTTGCTTTGTGGTGTGGTCCCCAATGGCACTGCTCCTTCCCACCTGGATTAAGAGCACAAGTGCAGCCGCAGAAGTGGTTGTCTCCCAAGTGTAGGGAGTACAATCACAGTCCTGGGCTGAACCCTGAGTCTCAATGAACAGGAACCATTTCTCTGATTTTATGGACTCTAGGCGCTGTGACAGGAGTGGAGCTGGCGGCAGCAGAACCAGCTCTGCCTTTGTGGTGCAGTTCTGGGTGCTGGAGCCGCGTGTTCCCGCTTGCAGGAGACAATCCCGGTGTGGGAGCTGCCCTGGCTGTGCGGGGTGTCACACAAAAGCAGGGTCCCACCCTGGGAGGACACTCCAGGAGCAGCAGGGCCGCTGCTGCCGCACTGCGCCCCAGCCACATCACCCGTGCGTTCGGTTCGTCGCCTCTGTCCCCTCAGTGCTGGGGCCGGGGCCTGACCTGTGTGTGTCCCCTGGGCAGCCGGGAAGTACACGGCCAGCTCGCACCGCCTCTCGGCCCTGGTGACCCCTGCAGGGCGCTCCTACGAGTGCCAGGCACAGCAGACCATCTCCCTCGTCTCCAGCGACCACCAGAAGAACGTGCAGCTCCTGCTGTCCGAAGTGCGGCTCCAGCCCTTCGACATCCCTGCGGATTTTGTCTTCAGTGAAGGTAAGGAGCAGGCAAAGGCACGTCCGCATCCCCGAAGGTGCTGATGCTGCCACGGCCTTCGGGGATGTTGCAATGGACTGAAGGAATTTGGGTCCCACCTTTTCCAGTACGATCTTCCTCTCTCTGCAGCCTGTTATCAGTGCTCCCTGCAGTCCCTCCAACCCATTCCTTGCCTCTGTGGTCCCCCAAAACGCTTTACAAATTCAGCCTAGCTGCCAAAACATAGGCTATCTTTGTGTGTGCATTGGCTTCTGTAAAGACTTGTAGAGTCAGATTGCCAGCCAGCCCCAATGCAGCATCCCTGAGGAGCCCTGCAAGGTAGAGGTGTCTCCTCTGCAGCACAAAAATGCTTCAGCACCGCCCCAGGGGCTTCTTAGGGCTGCTGTACACTGAGGAAGCTTGGGGCTGCAGTGGCAGGAGACACTGGGAGTGCATGTTCCTAGCTTCAGTTTCATTAATGTTCATGGTGAGGGTGAAGGAAGCGTAACAGGGACTTCAGTGAGGCTCTTCAAGCACCAAACACACGGGAAGCCATTCCCCTTCTGGGATTCTTTAACATCCATGGTGGATAAACGAAAACGTGAGGTAAATCATGCAGTTTGTATCAAAGCAATGCTGCCGTGGGACAGGATTCCTGCAGTTTTAGCTTCCTTTGTCCCAAGGAACCCATGGTGTTCCTCCTCCCTGGCTCTCCCATCAGTTGAATGAGGCAGTGTAATCATGCTCACCTGGATTAAGTAAGAGCAGTCCCATTCCATAGTGGTGCCTTAGCACTAAAATTAATTGAGCTCTTTATTGTAACCAGCTGCAAATAAAATGTGTAACAACCAACTCTTTTAATAACAAGTTAGAAAATGGTGGTATTCAAGCCTAGCATTAAAAACATGGAGCTTTATTATTTTGCATGTGGGAAATATTTTGGAACACAATGAATGCCCAGCACTGACTGCAGAGCTGAGTAGTTGCACTCCTGACTTGCATCCTCTCATTGATGTAGTAAATTCGTGCTGTTGCATGTGCTGGCTCTGGCAGAGCTCTGCCTGGCTGAATTACTCATGGCAAGGCCAGTGTAATACTGAGTAGGTTTTATCCGTGGGCAGAGCTTTTTTTGTATCAAAGTAGTGCCACATTTTTCTTAGATTTACAAGGAGAAAAAGGTAAAACTTAATAGTTGGCTGTATTTTTTTTTGTTGGCGTAGCTTTACCCTCTCATTCCTGCACTCAGGCTGGGCTGGGCAGACCTTGGAGGCCAAGAACAGGATGTTTAAATTATGCAAGTCTGTGTCTCTGAGGTTACCAAACTTGTGAAGTCCAAGAGCTCCCAGTTAAAACAACCGAACTCGGGGTTCATTGCCAAAGGAATCGACCTGCTGTTTTCATGATATACTCATTCCTGTCAGGCAGAAAATTTGTTTCTATTTTGTTTTCTGTTTTGTTGTTGTGGTTTAATGGGTTTTGTCTCCAGCACACAAAGAGATGATGTTGGTTTAGCAACCTTTACACACATGGAGGGAATTCCTCCTCTGGAGGACTGTATGACTTCTCTCTTTGTCAAGCTCAATGGGGTTTTCTGTTGTTGTTGCTCTCATTATTCAGCTACACTCCTTTTGTTGAATTCCACTGGAAGTTAACCACAGAGAGCACCTGGACAGGGTGGTCAGAGGTCCTGGGAGATGATTTATCAGTGGAGCTCCATGCAGGGCTCTGCTGCTCTCCCGCCAGCCGAGCTCGTCCTCGGCACACACATGGCAGAACAGGATCCTTTGTGGGGTCTGAGAATCACTGCCAATCTCAGATTACAGTAATTAGCCTTCTCCTTTTTGCTTCGTTAATTTCCCATTAGGTAAAATTCCTATTAATTATGAACAAGCTACAGAACATTTTAAAATATTTTAGAGTAGAGAAAGAGACCGGCTAGAGCAGAAGAATCTCCAAGACACAGGAGGGTTGGGGCCTTTTTCCATAGAGAAAGGGGGGAAAGGTTTCTTCATTAGTCCTGACACTGTCCTGGCAGGGATAGTTTAAAAATCTTGTGAGGAATGACTGGATTGTTTTTGGTTTTTTTGAACGCTTAAATTCACTTGCTAGAGTGTTTTTTTTTTTTTGAGACACTGCTTCCAACCTTCACAAATCCACATTTATTTTTTTATTTACATTTTTATTGTTCGATACAGAAGCAGCAGAAATTTTTTTTCATTCAGAGTTCGCTAATTTTTTTTTTTTAATGGGGAATGTGTGTGTACGTTTTTCAGCTTAGAAGATGAATAAAATGAGAGCTGGATCATGAGGGTGTGAGAAGGTTTAAACTGATGAAAGAACCCCAGAGAAACTGTCAGCTCTTTTGATTTTTGTATTTAAAATTTGAATATAAAGCAATATGATGAAAAATATTAATACAAAGGAATACAACAGCTGAGAATCAGGGACTGGGATCCTGGGGTGGTTCAGAGGGAGCTGAAACCTCCTATTTGAGGGCCACATTTTCTCGAGGGCTCTTTGCACCAAGGTATGCAGACACTTCATAAAAAGCTCCTGGTTTTTCTTTTTTTCTTTTTTTCTTTTTATATTTTTTAGCTATTTACTTATAAACACCCATCTCAAAATGTCAAAAATCTTGTCATGCCAGATACAGCTGGGCTGTTTTTCCACCCCTTTGGACAATCCCTGTGCTGATGCTCATGCCTGCAGGAGGGTGCTGTGCCTTTTGCTGGGTTTTTTGCCGTGTTTGCTCTGCAGAAGGATTCTGGAAGAGGAAAATGGGCTCTTAGGTGGTTTCACAGCCTGGTACTGGAATTGGACGAGCACTCACCATAGAAACCGTGGCAGTACGTGAGCCTGGGAGGAGGCACAGCACAAAGGAGCAGTGAGAGATGTACCTAAACACCTCCTTTGTATCTGTCTGCAGTGGGTGTTCCACAGGGCAGGCACTGGGGGTGACACCACCCTGGCAAAGGGGTGACCCACCGTGTTTGGGATGCAGCACAACTCCCAGCATCACCTGAACTTCCCCTTTCTTGCCAGGGACCTTTTGCTTCCCTGGACCGAGGGTAAACCCTAGTAATTTGGGAAATGCTGAGATCCCTGCGACCTGGAGTGAAATACTGGGGAAAATTGGTCAGAAAGGGCTGTTTTCCTGCAGGGTCATTAATTTTGAAATCATAGCTGTTGCCAGTGCAGTGGTTCTTCATTTGTCAAGCATCAAGCTACCCATACTTGAGGGGTTTGAATGTCCAAATATGTCTGCCAGGGATTTTTTGCAAACCCTTTCCCCCTCCTGTTCCCCCTTTGCCTTTTCCTGTGCTGATGGAGCAGGAATGATACCTGCTGCCTGCCTGCCTCCCTGCTGTGTTATGGACCTCAGTGCCTTTGCTTTGAATTCTGGGGGTGAAAAACACTTCATTTGAATTCTTTGGGTGAAAAAGGCTGCATAAATGTTAAAGTACGTTGTTATAAATGTGTAAGTATTTTAATTTGTCATAAAATGAAGTGGTTTAACATTGATATAATGTTAAAATGGAGAATTCATCCTCCTGGCAGTCAGCACCCAGAGAGCCTCACTTCTGCAGATGTGTTTGTGCTTAGCACTCCCCAGTGCCTCTGTGCTGGGTCCCCCCATTCCCCCTCCAGTCTCCAGAGAGCCCAGGCTTTGGTGATCTGCTCCAAAGGGAGAAAATGGATGTTTCTGGTGAGGAGAAGGTGTGGGTAGGGCATGGCAGCTGCTCTGCCCGGGGAGGTGCAGCAGGTCCAGCTGGGTTTGGGGGTGTGCTGCTGGACACTGACAGCTTTGCTTGGTTTTTTTTCGTTTCTTTCCTGTTGGCTTTATATATATATATATTTAGTTTTATTTTAATCCTCTTAAAAGTAGTGTCAAGATCAAGATCTCTCTTCCTTGATTGTTTCCAGGAAATGACACCTTTTTTGTTGTGACACAGACACAAAACACAGCTGTGGCTTTCCGTGGGCACGGATCTCTGGCCACATCCTTCTGGTGTGTTTTGTGGCCTGCAGTTGGTTTGCTTTTGCAAAGTTTGGTGGAATTCAAATGACACAAGCGGGTGCTTTAGAGCTGGGTCTGTTTTCTGCACTGGTGCTTTTAGCTTTGCCTTCTCCACTGGCTGCAGCCCCCCCACATCCAGCCTGTTCTCCTGCAAGTGCTGGAGTTCTTTAGGGAAAGGTGAATGGAAAACCTGGTGTGTTTGAGCACAGGGGAATCCTCTCAGCTGGGTTTCCAGCAGCTTTCTTTCCATCTTCTCTAGGGTTTAAGCTAAGCCACTTTCAAAGCAAAATCAGTGTCCAGCCACAGTGATCTCCTGCACACTCTGTCTGTAGCCATGTGGGGGCTGCACAGGAGCTTCTGAAGCTTGGATCCTTCCCATGGGAACGGTGCTGCTTTGTACCTGTGGGGAGAGGGGTCGGAGCAGTCCTGGCCCCACAGCACTGCCCTGTGAGTGGCTTTTCCTGCAGTCAGCTCAGCCTGGTTTTGTGTCCCTGTGGGTTGCTCAGGTCTTAGCATCCTAAACTGGGAACAATTCCACAGAGCACTAGAAACCCAATTTAGGGAGCTAAGTAATAATCAGAATTTTTCCCCCTGTTCTCCTCACTACAAACAAACAAAACCCCTGCATTGCAGCAATTGCTGAATCGCCTGTACCACAGTCCTGGTGATTAATCACTCCTCTGGTGAAACAGTGAGCAACTGGAACTGAAAAGGACATTCTTTTGTGTTAGACTACATTTCACTTTTGCTTTTTTTTTTTTTTTGTTTCACCTCATTTACAGCTTGAAATGTTTCCTGGTGGCATCGCTGGGAGGAGGCTGCACTCCAGGATGCGGTGAAGCTCCTGGAGGTGCTGGCACCGCTGGAGATGGGTCCCTGCTGTCACCTCCTGCCTGGGCCTGGGGGTCTCTGGGTTTTTCCTGCTCTTTGTCACATGCTGTTAGATTTGTGGAGCATTTGCTCTTCGTGGTTATTGCAGATCTCTGCAATCAGCTGCCTGGGAAACCCATCTGGACAGTCTTTAGCAAGGGGAGGAATTTGTAGTGCCCTTTGTATTCGCTCATCTAATACACAGCCTTTCTATTTTCCCCTTTTTATTTTTTCCTTAAAGTTGTCATTGTTTTCAGCACATTTCTAATACAATGAAGAACATGAGCCAGAGAATTGCTCTTCCTGTATCATGTACTCTTTTTTTTTTTTTTTTTTTCCTAGCCTGGCAGCCCCATCTCAGCAGCATGGGCATCATGATGCTGCCACTCAGGCCTGCAGTAGACTCTGGAAGTGTAAGGGAGCTGAGCCAGGATTACCAGTGTATCATGTTTCCTGACCTTAGTGGCCTTTCCAAGCTCAATAGAAAAGTATTTTCCCATTGTATCAGTGTATTCTAGTGGTTTATTAGGCTATGGCACAGACTCATCAGCCAGAGACAAAAACATTGTCAGGGCTCTTTCTGCTCCTCCTTTGCCATATTTGATGGACAATTTGGGGTGCTCTTTGACACAGACACACACGTGTGTGCTCTGCCAGGGCTGGTGCCATGGCCATGGAGAGGGGGCAGTGGTGCTCTTGGACCCCTGCCAACTTGCAGATAGATGGGGGAATCTCTGGCTGATGTGCAGGGTGAGTCTGGAGCAGAATTAAAGGCTTAGTGATGCTGAGGCCTCTCCGGGCACTCGAACTGAATAAACAAAGCAGCTCTTCAGTCACTCAGGAAACTCAGCCTTGGGCTGCCCCAATCCCAACGAGGCCATCGATGTGTGGCAGAGAGGGCTGAGTTTATGGGCATGAAAAGTGTTTTTCCAGTGCGTGGGCTGGTTTGATAGATGTAGCCTCTCCCTGCATCCCTGCATTGTGACTGATTTCACTTTGCTCCAAAGCAATTGATTTTCTCCCCGGGGCTCCGCTGGCGGCTGCGGTTGCTCCGTCCTGCGTGGAGCCGTGACCGGGGAGCCCCCTCAGCTCGGCGGCGGCTCAGTCACGTCTCTCCTTCCTCTCTTTCTTCCTCTGCAGAACACAAGTGCCCGGTGGACCAGAGGGAGCAGCTGGAAGAAACCCTGCCCCTGATCCTGGGGCTGATCCTGGGGCTGGTTATCGTCATCACCCTCGGCATTTACCACATCCACCACAAGCTGACAGCCAGCCAGGTGCAGATCCCTCGGGACAGATCTCAGTACAAACACATGGGATAGGGAGCAGCACTGAGCAATCCGAGCATTTATCAGGTAGAAAAAGCAAAAGCACTTTTTTCTGTGGATGAGGAAAGGGTCTGGGGGGGGCAAGGGATGGTATTCACAGCACCTAATCCTGAGTATTTCCAGGAGACACTCAGGCTAAGGCTTGGCTTTAACACAGACTCTGTAAGAGATTCAGTGTCTGTAGGTGGTTTGAATACCTTCTTTAAGCAGCTGGGCTGATCATCTGGAAACAGAAATGCTTCACATGTCAGAGTTTCACACTGGGAGCACAATTAGCTTTCTTGTTTTATTTGTCTTTATCCCTTTTTCCCATCTCAAGAGATTCTTACCTTCCCCTGCATCCCTTTGGGGGATTCAGCCCTCTGTGTTCCTTGCCCATGCAGGAAGCAGGGCTGGGAGACAGAGCCATTGCACAGGGTTCATTCAGGCCCTCTAATGAAGGGACTCAAACCACATCCCTAAATTTGCACTTATGTTTAAGAAAAGCATGGAGGTAAATGGAGGTATGCTTTGGGGGAAAAAAAATTAAAAATCCAAGGTCAGTAACTCCAGTGGAGCATATCACAGCTGTGGAGCTGACCCCACACTTGAAACTGAGTGAGGAAAGTTTGTTTTTGCTTCTTGAGCCACATCTGAACTAAACTTAGAAAAAAAAAAAAAGGAAAAATAAAAAAAAAAAAAGAAAAAAAGTATTGATACACAAATTATAAAGTGCCGTGCTACTGCAAGTCAACTGAGAAATGCTTCTGGCTGGGCATCCTGCACGTATTGTGATTGTGGTTGAGATGTTACATTGCTACCTGCAACTGATAATTTTCACACCAAAAAAAAAGATAAAAAGAAAAAAGTAATGTTAAAGTTACTATGCAGATTATTCAGGTATAATCTAATGTAACAGAAAAAAAATAAGGGAACCCTTGACTATCCTTAAATGTAGATGATTTTTAAAATTAATTAAAACATGTACATATATAATGCTTGATTTGCCTTCTTAATGTGAAATGATGTAATGCTTTATACCCACTCCATGATACCAATGGAATTAGAACACAAATACATGATCTGAGTGGATGTCACATGTAGGGTTTATTCCAGCAGTGGTTTTGCTGCAAATGGCTTGGTGAAGACATGGTGGTGGTTCAGTATTCTGTGATTTGTTGGTTGTTCCTAATATTCTTCTATCTCTTGGCTGTTTTTTCCTGTGTTATGTGAGCAGTGATGTGTTTTATTCTGGTACTATCCAATTTCCATTCCATCCTTTGACTCCCCTTGGCTCTGGTGTTACCTCAGCAGGAGTTAGTCCAGGCCTTGTGTAAATTTAGGGCATGGGAAACACTTCCTTCTTCTTAAACTGCTTTAATTCAAACAGAGGCTTGATTGTTTTCTTTCACCTTAAAACTCAGTCAAAGAAAAACAGTAATTTCAATGTTGAAAAAAGGTAAAAGAAGAAATTTAATTGTTCTTTAATGCTGTATTCTCCTGTGAAATATATGGGTTTTTTAATTAAGCTGGATGCAGCATAAGTCTTCCTGTAGCCCTGCCTTATTCCTGGTCTCATTTCTATGCTATGCTCAGCTTTCTGTTTTCTCATTTGGATGCAAAAGGCAAAATTATGGCACTAATGATGATTGTGGCTTTGCCCTTTTCCTTCAGAACTCCAGTGAAAGGGTCCTGGGTGAGTTTTAGACTGATCAAGTGCTACAGCCTACAATAAGCTGATAATTAAAAAAAGAAAAGAAAAGGTTCTTTCAGAGGCAGTTAGAAAAAGCCAGAGGTAGCAGGAAGGTGAGTAAAAGGATTAAAGGTTCATCCTTAATAGAGAGGAGCTTTGTCCTGCCTCCCCCTTGTCTGCCCTGGGGCCAGGAAGGCTCTCCCAGCCAGCTCCCATCAGCCTGGCACATCTGCCACTGTGACATCCCAAAGAATAATAAAATACAAAAAGGAAGCCAACAGCTGAGCTGCAGATGCCACAGGAGCCTCTCCACTGCCATTTGTCTCCTGTTCAGGCTGTTCTGGCACAGGGACTGTGGGAAGGATGGGAGAAGTTGCACCCAACTGGAGCCATCCCGGTCACTCGGAGGTCATTCCCCCCCTTGGAAGAGGGGAAAAGGGGCTTCATATGGAGCTGCTGAAAGCAGCAGAGCCTGGGGCTTGGCTGAGCTGCTGAGTGTCAGTGCAGGGGAGGCAGTGGCAGGGGACAGCAGCCCCAGGCTGCTCTGGGAGGTGGCTGTGCCTTGCCCAGGTAAAGCTGCTGCTGGGTTTTGGGCCCTTACACCACCTGAGCAAGACCTGCCTGCTGTAACAGGGAGATGCTCCCAGACATCTGTGGGTTCAAGAAGGAAAAAAGGCTGATTCATGGTGGCCTCTGTGAACTGTTTTTAATCCATCCTGCACTGACCCTGTCAGGGCACTCACAGGGACTGTCCCTGCCTGACCCCAGAGCACTGAGGTGGTGGCAATGGCCATTGGATGGGGACAAATCCCCCCAAAAAAGCTGACACTGCTCCTGTGCCTGCTTGAAGGACTTCTGCTGCTTTCCATGTCAGGTATCTGCGGGTTTCCCTTAGGAAGCACTTGGCATCACCTGAGTGTGTCTGTAAGCTATTAGGACCAGAGTTCCAGGAATGCAATAATTAATTTCTTGATTTTTCTGAACTGACAGAAATTTTTTTTTTGTTGGACTGAAACGTTTTTGCTTTCTGGGAAAGAAAGGAAAAAGAAATCATAATTTCATCTCAGTGACAGTTTGTGTCCTAGACTGATGTATCTTGGTTGAAAAAAAAAAAGTTATTTAAGTTTTGGGTGAAAACCTTTTTAAATATTTTAATTCTTTCCATCCTTTTGCTCACGTTTACTAAAATTGATCTGAATTTTCCATTGCTTTAAGCTTTTCAAGCCTATTTATGAGAGAGATTGTGTCCAGCTTTCCTCCTGCCTGTCAAACTGCAGCAGCATCTTGAGGATGGCAGCACTTTGTTATGATTTAATTTTGTATTTAGCTTTCATTTATTGATGTTTTTTTATGGGTGAGCTGCAAATTGAAAGCTTTGCTTTATAGATGTTTATGAACACAGCAGTAGAAGGTGGATAAATACACCTTATCACCCTACTGAGCTCTGTGAGGACCTGTAATAATTAAGCACTTACTAAAGCAGCTGCTAATGACTTACAGAGTACTTTTGATTAGAACTTTAATTATAAGTTATTGATGTATTGCTGAGGAAGGGGCTCACACAGCCAGTAAATGTCCTGGCCTCTGCTTCTATAATTAGGAATATTTGGGAGTAGTTTTATAACTGGGAGCTCAGAAAAAGCCATCATTCCTTAGTGAGAGGTGGGAGTAATTTCATTGGAATATGGCCTCAGCTTCTGAGTGAATAGATGCTCTTCACATGCCTCGATTTTTTTTTTAATTTTTTTTTTTTAGGTGATGGTATTACATTTTTTCAATGTATTACAAAGTATTTACTGATGTCAGAAACCAAAAGTAATATAAATCCTCATTTGTAAGACTTGAAGATAGCAAATAACATTGTAGATTCCATCAGCTGACTGGTGCTGCTGGGAAAACTGGAAGGAATTTATATCAGTCAGTGGAAGAGGTAACAGTTGTGAACTAAAAATTAGGGATGTGCAAGGCAAAAAAGGATTATTTAGGGGATAGAGAAAGGAAGGAAATGCACCTAGAAATCAGTTGGGGCAGCTCTATAAATCACTATTTATATATATTTATGTATATGTATGTATATCATACACATGTGCATCTTTTATATACAGATGTATAAAAACACTTTCTTCTTTGATATCTGGTCTCATACAGTGGGACCGAGTCATGTATAAAGTAGAAAAAAGGCATGGGGAAAAAAAACACACTGAAACTTAAAGTGTTTATTAATTCATTTATTTAACTTGCATGTGCATTTGTCTCACCAATAGCTGGTGTTCACAAAAAAACCCCTTTGAAATCGACAAAACTCTCAGTAAACTTGATGAACACTGTTTAAAGTATCTAATAATAAGAAAGTTGCAGAAAATTCTTCACTTGTACAGCCTAAAATGTGCTGAATATTGAAGAAAAACCTCCCACCAACCCCTTTTTTTTATTCAAAGATGGTTAAAAAAGGTCATTTTGTGGCGAGTATTAAGTTGTGCCATTGCCTGGACTGGTGCAGCCTGGTTTCCTGAGTTGTCGAGACTACAAAAGAGAGCCCTGCGAGGCTGTGGGCGCTGGGGGGCGGCGGGAGCCAAACGCGTTTTCTTCAGTGTCTTCTTCAAATGTGCAAACAGGGGTAGGGGGAGAGAGCAGTGGGGATAAGACACTGATGTAAGAACATCTGTTCCATGTTCCAGATCATCCTTATCTCCTTTTTTCTTTTTTTAATTGCTTCTCTCCCTCCAACTATTCTTTAAGGGCAGAGCTAAAGGAGCTTCTTTACTATTGGCAACTCTTTTCTCCCAGAGGAAGATCTTTAAACAACAGCTCCTGCCAGGTTTAGATGTTTGGTTATAATTTACTATAATAAATAACAATTTATTAACTATGAAATTTCATAATAAGAAAGAAACTGTGTTTTCACAAAGTTGGCTTTGTGGTTCTTAAAGATACCATAAAATGAGGTCAGTAAGAAAAAAAAAACAAACTTGAAAAACATGGCTTTTATATTATACATAATTAAAAACAACTAACTGTTAATAAATAAAATTAATTATGAAGCACTTCTAAAAATTTTAAAGGCAAATCTATTTAGGCCTACAGTTAACATGCAAAGTCATCCAACAAATAACACAAAATTGTACTGCAGTAGTCAACTGTTGCATCAACATTCAAAAAGGTCTAGACAGCAGCACGACTTCTCCTCCCATCCCATCCCCTCTCATCCCATCCCACGGCTCTGCCTGAGCTCTGGGGATCCCTCTGGGCTGGGAGGAGGAGCTCCTGCCCTCCCTCTCCACTGCCAGTGTGACAGAAATCGTGGAGGCTTCTGTGGTGGCAGAACTGGCCTTGTGGTGGCATAAAAAAAGAGGGATCAGCCCAGTCTGGGAGGCCCCTTGGGCCAAGGCTGGGAGGGGGGAAAGGGACACCCAGAGCTGAGGCTGCCACTGTCACCGAATGCCCCAAGCCAGGTGCTCCTGCCATATCCTTGGCTCTTCCAGCTGCCGTGAGGGAGGGATGAGCCCCCTCCTCACCCCATGGGAAATCTGCAAAACCTTACAACTTCCTAAAGGTGGCTGTGGTTTCTTTTTTTTTTTTTTTCTCCTGTTTTCAAAAGGGTTAAAAAAAGTAGCAAACTTCATCTTCTCAAATTCTTGCTAAGTTACACTTATAACTTCAACTAACACAACAGTTACATGACAAAGTACTGCAAGTTATCAAAACGTACTGTACAGAAAATTACAAACTTGTTGCAAAATACATTGCGCTGCTCTGACCGAGATAAAAAGTGCTTTGCTTTGTCAGAAAAGTGTTCTTCTGAAACAGAAGTGCCATAGCCTGCAGTAAAGTTCAGATGTTTCGCTCTGGCTGTGCTCTCCTCTGCTAAATTACCTTTCCAACGTTGGCATTCGGTGCCTTCTGCCCAGACGGCCCAGCAGACAACAGTGCTGGGAGCGCTGAGCACGGCTGGGATTGCTCCCTGGCCCTGGCACAGTGGGAGCAGAGGGAGCACTGCCTGGCTTTGGGGTTCTCTATACACCGTGGTATTTCCACAGGGCTGCTTTCCTTCACAAGGTTCTCCTCCTCCCTGCCTGCGGATCCCACGCGCCGCGAGCCAGGCTCTGCACTGACCTCTTCCCAAAAAGCTTCAGCGATGCCTGTGCTGCCTCATGAGGGGCACGATGCAGGAGGGGGGCCCAGCCAGTTTGAGAAAGGGGTGTCTCAGCAGTTCCTGTGCCGTGGCTCTCTGCGAGGGCTCCCG